ACTTAAAATAGATTATTAACAGTTTTATAATGTTATCACAAATATACTCAAATATAGATCTAGATTAACTACATCTGATGTTCTCAAAAATCTTTTTAATTATATTACTCTTGAACTTAAGGATAATTTTTATTATTTATTTATTAAATTATATTCAGCCTTTAGTCAAATTTTAAAAGCTGTAAAAGTAAATAGACTTGAAAAATAGATTAGAAATATATAATTTTTATAATTAACAAACTATAGATGAGCAACATTTAATATTTTTTGATAAAACATAAGTAGTTACTAAGGTTCTTTATAAAATAGAATATGAAGTAACCTTAATGTATGAGATTAAATAATATAATAAAAGTTTTACAGATTTTCTTATAGTATTAATATTAATTAGTATATTATAAATTTGATAGATTACTACAAATATAACTAGGCCAACAATTAGATTATATGCATAAAAAAAATTAAATAAAGAGATTTTTAATATTTATACTATTAATTCTTTTGTATTTGAAGAGTTTATTACAATTTAACGATCAGTATACAATTATTATAATTTAACTATATATACAAAGGATTAAATAAAAGTTTTTAAAATGATAAAAGTTTGCAAAACATATTAATAATAGATAGGATCAGTTCCAATTGATATATTAATAATATCTTAATTAATGACTGTGAAAGAGTTTCATACAAAAATTTTATTATTTGAAAAAGCTTATATTACTATTTTTGTATTATCATCATTATCATCTATTTCACTAGGTATTCTATTATTTACAATTTTGAAAGAATTAGTAAAATCAGATGCAAAATCTATTGGACTTTATTTTGATGGTGTTGCATATAATCAGACTTAGATTGGAGAAACTTATAGTTAATTTAAGTCCTTAACTTTTGGGAGAAAACTATCTTCTCCTAGTAAACTACTAAGCACTTAGCAGACTATATTTTTATTTTAAGGCTAAACTCTCAGGGAGGATTTAAAGAATTATGATCACTACAATTAAAAAAAATAGTACAATTATATTATAACTTATAGCGCAATTAAATTTTCTTATAGTTTAATTAAGTTGCAACTCAATTAAAATTTGAAAATAATTATGTAGACCATCTTTACTTATAGTAAAAATTTATCAGTTTATATTGATCTTAATTTCATATCAGTAAATACAGTATATTATAATTATTATTAATTGATATTTATTATGTTAATAATCTATTTTTATAATGATTTAAGATAACACAACTTTTTTTCAAAAAAATTTCCTATTAAGATTGGGATATTTGATAATGATCAACCTTTAATTAATATCAATTGAATATTTTTAGTATTTAAAAGAACAATATAGAAGTAAATCAGATTTGACAAATAAAGTATTAAATTTAAAAGATAAATAATCAGATAAGTTAGTTGAAAGATTTTCATCTAATGTATTAAAAGGTATAAAAAATATTTATTTTAATAATTATTTATTATTAATAAAATAATAAATTAAGTCTAATTTACTTAATTTTTAGCTACAGTTTAATATACTATTAAATACAATGATTATTTATTTTATGAGGATATTTTATTGTAAGATTATTATTTGAATTATGAAAATCTTGTACTATGAATCATTTAAATAGAATTTAATTTATATAGATAGTAACAATATTTTTTGCAACAATATGTTATTACTTAAAATTAAATCAAAACTAACAAAATTCTCAATAATATGATATATCTTGGCAATCAAATAATAATTTTATTTATCTTAATTGATTCTTTTAATTTATTAAATTTTAAATTTTATTCTGAAATTCTATTATAATTTTGGCTTATTTCTACTGCCTTTTTAAAATATATAGTGACCTACAAAAGAAACGTAACTATTATTAATTACTTTTAAAAACTTATAACAAGTTAATTATGAGGGTTAAAATCATAATTTATATTTATTTTAAAGCCCAAATCTTAAAGAATGACCTGATATAAATTTAATATTTAGTTAATAATACCAAATTTGTATAATTTAATGATTTACATCAGAATTACTTACTTAATAAACTTTGAGTATAGAAAAAATTTTTAGTAGGTTTGCTACTGTTATCTTATGATATTAATAATTAAAAAATTAGTATTAACGCAAGATTAATAAAGGGATTCAGCTTTAATTAATACTTTAGGAAGAGCTCTAAAGGGTTTACAAATAATTATTATTTTAAATGATAATGTATATTAGAATAAACTTTAAGAATTTTATTATAGGATCAAAATTTGATACAATTATATTTGTTAGTATATAACTATTATTAGTATTTATCTTATTAGTAATAAAAACTAATTAAATTCTAATTATTTAATTATTTATAAATTGTTATCTACTGTTATCTACTGCTGTCTAATATTGTCTGTCTTAATCAAGTTCTAAAGCTATCCTATTTATACTAAATTTTACTAATATAAATAAATAAAATACTAATTAATTACTAATAATAAATGATTAATAATATAAAGTAATTAATATTATAAAAGAATTTTCCGGCAGCTTCTGGGTTTTTTACGTAACCTTCATTTAAAACATTTTTCTCATCTTCGCCGTTTTCGTCGTCTAATGTAGCGCAGTTAATGTGACTTCTGTCACGTATATCATATTGCGTCAGCTGATCTTCTTATTATAATATATAGTTATATTTATTAAAAGATTTAAATATAATATAATATTATTGTAAAATAATTTAAAAATTAATAAAAAAATTTTAAATTAAATAAAAATATTAAAAAAAATAATTATTTAATAATTTATTTTCATTATATATTATTATATAAATTAGTTTTCATATTTCTTATTTATATAATATTACTTAAATTATAAGATGAAATAAGATTTACTTTTTTTTTAAAAATTTTAATTGATATGTTTAATATATCTTTATTTATTTATTTATTTTTTTCTTTATTTTTTATATTTAATCATTTATGTTATATTATTCTTCATACTTATAAGGCAACTTTTAAAAGCTATATCAAATTATCACAACAAATAATCATTATATGTTATACTTTATTTAATTAACAATGCATTATTTTTTAGATAAAAATTGCATTATTGCAAAGTAACATCAATCAGTATAATAAAATAGTTTACTACTTTATTTATTGAATATTCGTCCGGTTATATGTATAAATAGTTTGGGTTAACTTACTATTTGTCGTTTTGTAACGTTTTGAAATTTTGAAAAAACAAAAGAAATTTCGCTAATAGGAATTTGAATAAAATAGCTTTGTATAAATTCTTATATTATACAATTCTGCTTTTCTATTTTCGACTTAGAACTATTTGTAAAATAGAATGATCATTTAGGAAAAGAGATCAAATAAATTAATAAATGAGACAAAGATTACCACATCCAAATTCTTATTAATATTTGTTTTCATTTGTAACATTTGTTACCAAAGTTACATCCAATTCATTTTCTTCAACAAGACGCTCGAATTGCTCAAAATACATAAATTCATTAAATATGATGATCTGCTCATCACTATCAAGGGTGATGTTACTCTTCAACTCTTCATCACTATCATCGACAATATCAAAAGATTCATCTTCCAAGTGAAAAGTTGAACCATCCTCCAAATCCAAAGAATAATCATTACTCTTTAGTGAAGAATCATTATTAGGTTTTAAATCATGAACTTTTTTAACTGAATCACCAAGCTTATTAATTTTACGTTTTTCCCCTCTCTTTTTTTTATTCTTACGTTTCGAACGATCTGCATGTCCTTTAAGGTTAACGGGTTTAACAGGTAAAACCTTTGTTACGTGACCGTCTCTACGCATTTTTAATCCATGGTATGCCATGATATTCTTTGATACACTTTCCAATATTCCTGATGGATCTTTTCCTATTCCACGTGACAATGCAATTTCTACAAGTTCCAATCCGATTTCCAAATAATCCGTGATATTACTGGTAGAGATCAGATAAATCAATGAATTCAAGCAATGGTTGATACATTCATCATCATAAATTGGAGTATCAAGATGATTATGAAGCAAATGAAGATAATAATAGTTTGCTTCTTTGACCGATGGAGCATATCGTATCATAATTTGATATACACATCTAATAAGTTTTAATTCTTTTGGGGTTAATGGTTGCAATGGAGTTGGTGTACCTTCCCAAATTTGATTTAATGATAATATTGGTAATAAATCGTAACAAATATCATCACTTTGAATCTTCTCCTTGTCATTATTATTTTGTCTGTTATCTGATAGACGAGATAACCTTTCCCATACAATTTTGTCAAAATCTTTAAATAATGAAGCTGCTGCGTACCAATCATTATGATATTTTGCTTCACTAACAATTGCTTGATTCAATTCGGTCAACGTAGGAGTTTGTCCTGCTAATCGCATTTTATCAATGGTATATTTGGTACAAAATGATACGGAAGATTTAGATTTTTTAGTCATATTAATGCGTTTTTGATTTTTTTGATTTTTAAAAATAAATCGTTTTTGAGTTTAATAGAATTAAGGAAAGGTTTTAATAAAATCAAAAGAAAAATTAATAAAAAAAAAAAAAAACCTCGCTTCAAAGGTATATAAGAAGTTTTCAAAGGTTTTAAGAAATTTATTAAAGTGATTTACACTAAAATTTGTTGATTTCTTTTCATAAAAGAAATTAAGCTTTGCTTAAGTTTTTTAGATGAAGCAAGCTCGTGCGTGTTGTGGTTTTATAACGCACAAACACAGTAAAAGAACATTAACTTGACCGCAACATGAAAAATGGGGCAAGTTTATTTAAAAAAACAAAAGCATATTAGTAAAAAAAAATATATCATAAAATAATTTTTCCGGATTGAGCTAATCTTTTTATACATATATATTTTTCAATTGAAAATAGTCAATCAGCACCCTCACGTGTATCATGGGACTATACTAAATTAAACCATTTTTTTTTTTTTTTACCATTTTACAATTCTTTTAATTCTTTTTCACTTTTTAAAAATGTCCATGCTTCCAAAAAGAATCATTAAGGTACTATTCTTTTTTATTTTTCTCATTATTTTTACTAATAACATTACTGCATGATCCGGTAAAATTGTTATTTAGGAAACCGAACGATTAATTGCAGATGCAGCACCTGGTATTAACGCCAGACCTCATGAAGAGAACCTTCGTTATTTTGACGTTGATATTACAGGACCGGAACAGTCTCCTTTTGAAGGTTTGCTTTGTTTTTATTATATTAGAACTTTAAATAAAATGTTTCCTTCAACTTTTTCGTTTAATTATTTTAGGTGGAATTTTTAAACTTGAATTGTTCCTTCCTGAGGAATATCCCATGACACCACCAAAAGTTCGTTTTTTAACTAGAATATATCATCCAAACATTGATAAGCTAGGCAGAATCTGTTTGGACATTTTAAAAGGTTTGTGGATTTCTTTTTAAAGAAAAATAAAATTTATTTTTATATATATTTTTTTGATTTATAAGACTTCTCTACAATTTATATCAGATAAATGGTCACCCGCATTACAAATTCGTACTGTACTTCTTTCCATACAAGCACTTCTTTCAGCCCCGAATCCTGATGATCCTTTAGCAAATGATGTAGCGCAACACTGGAAAGATAACGAACCAGAAGCTATCGCGAAAGGTACAAGTGTAATAGTTTATCTTTTAAATACATGTTGATTTATTTATTTTTTTTTTAATCCAATTATATTTTATAGCTCGCGAATGGACTCTAAATTATGCAGAGCGTATAACGCCACCTCAGTAATAATATAGAATTGTACCAAATGAGCATGTCCGAACTTTATAATAAGGACTTACAACACTTTTATCTATTTTTGCCATTGAGAATTTTATTAAATGTTTTAAATGTTAGATATTTTATCATAATTTGTTTCTATACAAAGAAAAGTTATTTTTATATAAGCATAAATCACTTGTTTTTAATTTTCATTTGGATTTAAATGAGAAACTCTCTCAATATGAATCCTCATAATAGACGAATTTATATTTATATTTGGATGTTTCTTAATGAAATTATATAATACCTAATTACCCCTTAATCTGCACTTATGAAATTAAGAAACCTGTTAACTGATCCAATTTCAAAACACTTGAAATGTCCCATAATCATGTGCTGCGCCAAGAACATATGAAGATAACTATGAATGTCCTTAAACTTCTCCTACCTTTTGTCCATATTTGATCTTTTGTCCTGTTTCCACGCAAAACTTGAAATCGGATGGCGCTTCAAATACCAAAGCTATAGTCGAACCCAAACAAAATCCTCCCATTTCGTCACCAGCTCTCAATGGTTGTCCGCCAAGCAATTTACTTGCTTTTTTATAAGAAACCTCCGTATATGTTCCAACTGGTAAATCTTCTCTTCGATTAGTACGGAGAGCCTAAGATAATAATTATGAGCTATAGAAAAGCACTTTTTTTTATTTTTCCTAATTTGATACAATTAAACTAATTCATTAAATCACCTTATCAAAATTAATTCGGATAGAACCAACATTTGTTGCTCCAATCGGAATCATTGAAAAAAATCCACATCTCCATCTTCCAAGTAATGCCACACGTTCATTTAAAACAAATAAATCTGGTAGCATATTTACCATGTATGGTGATACAGAAAATAATTCCCCTAAAAATAAACATTAGTATAGTATGACATTGTTTATGTGGGATCCTACAAATATCCCGACACCCAGAATCCCCACAGTCCAGAATCCCAACTCCAAAATCCCGACATACCCAAAATCCCGATAGTCCATGTTCCCGATGGTCGAATGGACATAATCCCGACTGTTCAAAATTCCCGACCTATATTTTTTAAAAAAAGACCGTGACGCAGTCTGATACATATTAAATGCGATAATTATTGAAATATACTAAACTGATCAGGTTTAGTATTAGGATTAGGGTTAGGGTTAGAATTGGGTTATATTTTTTTTATTGCGTTGAATTAAGGTTAGAATGGGGTTAGGGTTAGGTTTAGGGATTTTGACAATCGGGATTAAAGTCCATCAGGATTTTGGGTATGTCGGGATTTTGGAGTCGGGATTCTGGGTGTCGGGATATCGTCGTAAACCTGTTTATATAAAGAGTATGATTACAGCGTACCTGCAAAATGTCGCCTCGTTTCAACAACCCAACTGGTTGGTGAATGAAATCTATGGTAATCTCCAGGAGCAAGATATATTACACAATAATGAAGTGTATTCCCCTCTCTCAATTTATGTCCAGAAGGGTGTCCAAATGTATAACTTATCACATTTTTCGCCACAATTAATTCCTTTTTTATATCATTCTCTTCCGATTGAATTGAAGCATCTTCACCAACACTGCTCTCCTGTTTAAGAGCATTATCTGTATCATCACCAAGTAAAGTATCCAGGGAATACGTGATACCATTAAGGTTTGCAAATTCTTTTTCGTCAGCAATGTGAGTCGATGAAGCTATTTCAGCATGGTGGTTTTCTGAACTCATTACACGTTTTTCCTCTTTTCGGCCTATAAGTGCATCCAGTGAATAAGTTGCGCCTTTTACTTGCTCAACTTTTCCTTCTTTAACTAATCCGAAACTTAAAACTTTGCCATCCGCTGGTGATACCTTTTAAATATTCCATTATAAAAAAAAAGTTAATTAACAAAAAAATTCAAATTAAATATCAAACTAAAGTTATATCCAGACCCACAAGTGCTGCATCTTCTATTGGTCTCACATCCGCCTTTAATGATCTATAGAAAAAAGAACCTAAATTTGGATAACTTTTTAGATCGGTATTTTCTATTTCTTCTAAATTACATTTAAATAACCAACTATAGAACTTATAACAAGGTTCTCTCAGAAAAACGGGTAATTCATATTCGTTATTAATTCGACCCCATAATCTAGAGAATGCACGAAGCGGAAGAGAATCAATTAAATACACCTAAAAAAAAGAAAACAACCCTAATTAAAAATGCTTTAAAGGAAGAAATAAACGTATTTAATATACAATTAGATTACCTGCCAGGGGCCTATAACAACTGGTCGACTTTCAATTTCAATTGATGAATCTTGCTCTTTTCTTTTTTTTTCACGGGTATAAACGCGAAGCAAGTGTTGAAATGCAATGAAAGCTATTCCTAATCCGATCGGTATAGGATACCAGGTTACTTTAGTTTTCTTCCAAGTTTCATTTAATCGTTCTATGGTAAGATAAAAGATTTATCATTGTATATATATATATATATATAAAAATGTTTAAAAAAGATAAATTTACCTGCAAAAGGTCGTTCCTTTTCTTGTGACTTCTGTTGAAATCTTGAAGCAGAAACATTTATTGCTCGCGTTCGTTTTGTAACAACAAAGGAAAATGCGTTACTATAACGAGAATTAACTGTTCTGCTATGTAAGCGACATGAAACAAGAGAAGCCCTTTTAATTCCAGATAAAATCATTATTTTAAATAATTTTGATCGTTTATAAGGAGGGTTTTTAATCTACATCTATAATAGCATTTAATAAAATTTCACGTGTTACCGTTTTAGGGAACGGTAAATTTTCTTTAACTTCTTAATATTACTAGCTGCTTGTCCCGTTGCAACCCTAAACCCCACTTTAACTCTAACCCTAATCTTAACGCTAACTCATCATTGGTGTTTTTATAAAAACATAACTCTTTAATTTTTGTATTTTTATTTTAATTTTCCTTTTTTTTTTTTTTTTTTAATTTTTTTTAATTTGCGATTTTAATAATTTTTTTTTTCCGATATATTCTTTATTTAATTGTACTTTAAACAAAAAAAATTGCGAATTACCGCGATTTTTTTTTATAATTTTTTTTTCTATAATCGTCGGGTTTTAATATATATATTGGTACAGTATACTTGATGGAAAAGGGATTCGCTCTTTCCACACAAAGTGAACATTGGTATTACTAACAATTTCAGGGATCAAAATTGGTCATTATCATCACAAACTGTAATAGTAATAGTAATGTGATTATTTTTTTTTATTAATCCAATTGCTTTTGCCTATTAAATATGAATCACTTTTCATGTCAAATTGTATAACATACTGAAGTTTCACTGTATATACATATATAACAATATTTTGTTGTCAAGAGAAATTTAATTTTTCTTTTTATTTATTCAATGAAGAATTTCGTGATAAATATATATTAATAATTAATCACATGATTAAATAGAATTCAAGCTTCGTATTAATAAATACACATATTAACCAATTAATACACAATGAATTTTTTTATCAAGCATTATTAATTAATCACTATCATGAGTGAAAATCGTAATTTGATTTCGAGAATTGGTTGTATTTTTTCAAAAGTTTTGAATTTTCTTGATTGAATTTTGCCAACATGTATGGTGGTGGTGGTTTCTATATTATTGAACAACTAAGATGTGATCAATCAATGTTCTTGTGCATTTTATTTACAATTTGACATCATATATTAGAAAACTTTGTACTTAAATTCTGACATCATGAGTATTAATTTCTATATCCAGAAATTCTCTTGTTATTATAATCCAACTAATCCAACTCTGATTTTTTAATAGATTACTTAATTTTATAAAGTTGAAAAGGCGGAGTTTGGAAGTACAATGTTATCGACATAGAAGGTTAAGGCTTCTTCCATAACATCATTTTGTATAGTGTCTTCTCCTATTGCTTAAATATTTTCCATAATTTTTATATAA